GTATCTGAGAGTTGGCGCTTAGCCGCTGCAATGTAGAGACTACAACAGCACCAACCTTATCGGCAGGCTTAATAACAAAGTCAGGGTTGGATCTAAGCGCATGGAGTGCAGTCAGTTCGGAGGGAGATAGGTTGGATTGGATGCAGGGGCCAGAGAAATTGAGGCTACCATTGTCACATCAACTGTTCTCAATGAACAGATTGAGTGCAGGTAAAAGGGCAGAGGGAGAGTCCAGGTGGAGGGAGAGAGTTGGAGCTGTGCAAAGGCATTTGTGGGACAGGGACAGGACTCTTGTCCAAAGAAATGGGCTTGGAGGCGAAGACAATGTTGTGTCATGCCTGAAATTCATTAAAGTGGAGCTGCAGAGGGATGAAGCTGAGATCTTTGCGGTGCACAGAATGTTCAGCATCAGAGAGCAGAAGGTTAGGAGGAATGATGAATACACAATATGAGGTGGGGTTGGGGGAAGGGATGGACATAGAGGGAAGGGGAGGGAAGGAAGGTTCCAGAGGACCATGGGTATCTCTGAGTTGTTGCATCTTGTGGGCCTTGATGCCTGAAAGGAAAAGAAAAAGTTTCTTGTTAGCACAGCGTAAGAGCCGGAGGATGAATGGAACTGCAGAATGGTGCAGTCCTGAGTCAGTGTGTTGCGATGCTTATTGAAGAGAGAGGTCGACAGTGTGTTCACAAGGTGGTCTCATCTACATTGGGGAAACGAAGGGCAGACTGGGTGACCGCTTTGCAGAAAATCTACATTCTGCCTGTAAAAGTGACTCTGAGCTTCCAGTTGCCTGCCACTTTAACACACCACCCTGTTCCCTGTCCAACATCTCTGTCTCAGGCCTGCTGCAATGCTCCAGCGAAACTCAATGCAAGCTGGAAGAACAACAACTCATTTTCGGCTTGGGGACCCTGCAGCCCTCCAATCTCAATATTGAGTTCAATAATTTTAGGGCCTGAACTCCCCCATGTCCTAGCCCCCTACCCTACACACCAGGCCATGTTATCACATAGTCTGCCATTACACACCACCTATTTTACCCACTAACAGTCTCCATTAACAGCTATTCACCCTTCCAGCCAGATCATTATTGACTCCTTTGTCTATTCAACTGTTCTTCTTTCTCTTTGGGCTCTATCACCAACTATCGTTTTCCTCCTTACACACTCCCCCCACCCTATCTTCCGCAGACAAACCGACATTTTCCTGGCTACCATCAGTTCTGAGGAAGGGTCACCAAACCCAAAACGTTAACTTTGATTTCTCTTTACTGATGCTGCCAGATCTGCTTAGCTTTACCAGCAACTTCTGTTTTTGTTTCTGATTTACAGCATCCACAGTTCTTCTTGTTTTTATTTTGTAATGTCAAATCATTTTAAGTCATGAAAAAAATTGGATAAATACATTTTCACTGCTTTTACCATTTTATTGTGTTTTCATCTGACATTTTAACCAGGTGTTTTTGACAAAGGCTGCATTATGTTGGCATATCAGGGTATAGAGAGATGCATTCATTTGGGAGCAAGGTGTCCTCAGCTAATAGGTAGCATCACTCAACTCAAATTTGAAAACCATTCCTCTGGAATTCAATGCATCAAGATTTTACTGTATATTAAACAATAGAGTAGAACCTCAGGCTGAGAATTCCAAAGATTCATGATTCTTTGACTGAAGAAATGTCTCCTGCTCTCAGCCTAAAGGATCAGCCCCTTGTCCTCAAACTGCACTCCCTCATTTCAGATCCCCCAAGCAACAGAAACAACCTCTCAGTATTGATCCTTTCAAGGCTATGCTAAATCTTGAATGTTTCAAATGACATCACCTCCCATTCTTTTAAATTCCAGAGAACTTTATCCCATTGGCCAATCTAGTAAACTTTCGCTGCACTGCTTCCAATGCCAGTATAACCTTCTCTAAATCTGGAGACCAAAGCTGCACAAACTGTTTCATGTCTGTCTCACTGAAGGTCCTTGCAATTATAGCAAGACTTCTTTATTTTTGTCCTCCAATCATCTTGCAATAAAGGCATTTGCTTTCCTAACTCTTACTGTACCTGTATGCCAACTTTTAGCATTCCTCATCTAGGATAGAATCCCTACAGTGTGGAAACAGGCCATTTGGCCCAACAAGTCTGCACCAACTCTCCAAAGAGCATCCCACCCAGACTCAACCATGCCATCCCCGCCCTCTGTAACTCTGCATTTCCCATGACTAATCCACATAGGCATCCCTGGACACTATGGGCAATTTAGCATGGCCAATCCAACTAACCTGCACATGTTTGGACTGTGGGAGGAAACCCACACAATACAGGGAGAACATGCAAACTCCACACAAAGAGTTGCCCGAGCCTAGAATTGAACCCAGGTCCCTGGCACTGTGAGGTTGTAGTGCTAACTACTGAACTACCATGCTGCCTCTATGAGTACACCCAGGTTTCTTTGAGCAGTACTACTTACAAATTTGCCCCTTTCAAAATTTTATACTATTCTTAGAACCAAAACAAATAGCCTCATACCTCCCCTACATTAGACCTATGTATATCTCATTAGAGCATCTTTGTGTTTTCATCACACCTTACATTTCAACTAGCTGTATTTTGTCCAGCAAAACTCATAATCAGTGCAATACTTTGTCTCTTCCTCGAAGTGATGATTATAGTTTGTGAATAGCTGAGGCTCAGTGAAGAAACATTGGAACTTCATTCGTCATAGCCAGCATTGGAAAAATAATTCAGGCAGAGTTTAAAATGAGCCTCAGTTGTTTCATGTGACTGTCCAAGATGGATTTACACCCTATAGTGTGGAAGCCCAATATATGTGGGATTAAAAGTTGATCCAAAACATACAGAAATTGTTTCTTTGGTGGACGATGTTAAATAATAATTATTAATTGCAATTATAAATAATATATATTTTGAATGTATCCTATCTATCAAAAACAGAAGATAAATGACTATAGAAGACAGAAGTTTTAAAATGCATCCCGAACCACACTGATCTAATCTGGTATAAATTTAGATTTCAGTAGATTAATTGACATTTTACAAATTTAGAAGTAAAGCTGCTGTAATTCCTGCAGCCCTGTAACCAGATAGCATTTCCACAGCAGCAACAAATATCAGTGCAAAATATACTTTCCATCTACTTTTAATTAGATTCAAAGGTTGCCAAAATAGGTAAACTTCTTTTTGGATTTGAGTATCGAAAAACCTTGTGACTCGGGTCTTTAAATTGTTAAATGGAAAAATTGACATTTTATCCTTTCATCAATTAAATTAAACTAGAACTATTTCCTCTTCAATAGAGGCTAATTTCAGACATGCAGGTTTTGAGCATGATTTTAAAATAGATGTCTCGAAAAGTTATTTGCAATATTCTGTATCTGAATGGAACTAGTGCTCTAGTTACCATCCAGTATGTTGTTTCATCTATATGTTTTTGGCCCTAATCAGAGAGCTCCTCAGTTTAAAAAATGATCTTACATTTGGAGCATTTTTGATTTAAAAAGAAAACCTATTTTTGAACCTCTAGATTTGAATGGGAATATTTTAATTGAACCATCAAATACATTGTTCCATTCTGGTTTTTGGAGCATCTGGTGATTATGTGCCTGGGTATTGAACAAAAACCTAAGGCTAATGATTCATTACCATGATAATGAATTAACAATGGTTAAGCATTTTTGTGTTAATTATATAATGCTTTGATTTCTACTGTGGTCATGAACCAGAAGATGATGCTGAGAAATAGGATTGTGCAAAACAGGTGCACAAGGGATCAATACTACAGGTGACAAATGCTTGCTAATTCCACACTGGAAATGTGCCACTCATTGTGTCCTGTCAGTCTCTTGAAGCCCTTACAACCTATGCAGAATGAATTATATAGCTTAATTAAAATATTTGAATAAGGCTTTTGCATTTTAGTAGGACGTTTTGGTGAAGTTGGACTGCTCCAATGCTTTATTCACTGTAATGAGCTTGCTCAGCATCTTGTTGTGCTAACAGGCATTAAAGACCTATCAGCATTATTATTTAAAAGGCTCACACAAGTTCATTTCTGGTTTCATTCTTTTAGCTTACCAGTTAACTTTTGCTTGCTTTTTTGACGTATTATCCACCAGGTATGATTTCTTATTTCTCTGGCTTGTAATAAATGTTGTGCCAGTGCTGATGCTTCTATTGCCTTCCTTCAAAATAATTTCACTGCGGTAATGAATGGTGTGGTAGGTACAATCTTTGGGAAAGAATTAAATTTTTAGGAAGCCCGTTTAGATAATTAGAAATAATATAAATATTGTGCCAGAGTTGGATGCATGATTCAACTTCATAAAGCTTCTCCGAGTGTCATATATTCAAAACAATGAGTGAATTTGACTTTGAAAACAATTGTGATAACACAGTGTGGAGCTGGAGGAACACAGCAGGCCAGGCAGCCTCAGAGCAGCAAGGAAGTTGACGTTTTGGGTCGGGACCCTTCTTCGGGACCCTCCTGCCAATTTACTCCCAAAAGAGCATAAAATTCTGTCCAGTGTTAATAAATTGATTCCAAATTCCAAATGGGGTGAAAACCAAAACCTCTGATAGCCAGAGGGCACAGATTCAATGTGACTGGCAATAAACTAGAGGTAGCACGAGGAGAAACCTTTTACACATGTGGTTAGGATTTGAATTATGCAAGGGTGATACAGATTATAGCTTTCAAAATGTAAGTGAGTAAATACTTGAAGGTGAACAAATTGCTGGGATGAGAGGAAAAAGTGAGGAGTGTGGTTACTTTCTCTTTGAAAGAGCCAGTGCAGACTCACCAAGTTTCCTGCTGTACTGTGCTGTTTCTTTGATTCTGAGAACTTACAACAGTGTGGTACTTCATCATGACCACCGGACGTTCCAAAGCAATTCACATCCAATTAAGTGCTTTTGAAGTGCAGTCACCATTGCTATATAGGCAAACCTTGCAGCCAATTAACAAATAGTAAGTTCCATAAATAGCGAATGAAACAAAATCTCATTTAATCTGTTTTGCCTCTGTTGGTTCAATGAGTAATTCTAGGAAGTATAGGATAAACCACCATATCACTAGTATCGTGATAGTAATGGTCATGGTGATGGAAGGTACAATCATATCGCAAACTTGTAAACTGTTAATCAGCCTGAGAATTCTTCAATTACTTCACAGTGTTCTCCAAGGGAGGGGTTTGAAGGAGAGTGCTTTCAGTCTGCCATCCCTAAAGACAGAGAGCACACATATTAGCATGTGAGATCATAATACACATAACAAAGGGTTTATTGTTATGAACCTTGCGTCATACAATTGCATAGCAGGATATTGTGAAATAAAGGTGCTTTCCAGATCACCACAGAGAGAAACAAGGTCCATTTTTGGCTATGATCAACCCTATATTCTCTGAAAATATCATTATAGAGCTGTAAATGTTTCACACTGGGAGATCTGCCATTGTCGTATCAAGTTGTTGCCATGGAATCACTTACATATGCCTGAATTAGCAGACATCGCATCTGAAGACAGATACCTCTGACAATGAAGCACTCTTTCAGCATTCTTTGAATTTTCCGGTTTATATTGTAACACAAGTGCAGAGGTAGTGTTGAAAACACAACTTTTAAGGATTGTAGGAAAGAGTATTATTAATTAAGCTAAGCTGCCACTTACCCAGCTATATATCAGATGACTTTATATTCTCACCTTTTGATCAAAACATTCAAAACTGGCAGAGTGGTCTGACTATATCTAAATGTTATTTGTAAGCTTAGTCAGATCTTTAGAAAACTTCCACAGGAGTATCAATTTCTATATGAAGTTTTAGCTGACAAAATCTTTTCAAAGAAGGATATACTTAAAATGAAGAGTAGGCCAATTAGCATCTTACAAAAGATTGATTCAAGGTGTGATTGAATGTTTCATAATGTTTCTTTCAATTTCAGATGTCCATCTTCCGTGGTTTTTATTTTCATTTGCAGGCTGAAAAATAAAAGACCAGATTAAAATAGAGATGCCGGGCCAGGCAATGTGTTGTAACTTTATGATCTGGAAGCTGGTGGACCCCATTGTGGTTCATAGTGACCACATCTGTTGCAAGTTTTGGTTGCTTCAGGAACTCTGGCTCAGAGTTGACGAGCTGGAGTCTGAGCTTCGAACGTTGTGACAGATCAGATTGGGGGAGAGTTACCTGGATGCTATGTTTCAGGAGGCAGTCACCCTCTCTTAGGTTTAACTACTTTGAGTTGGGTCAGTGATCAGGCTGCAAGGGGATGTGACAACAATAGACGTAGAAAGAGGAAAGAGGTCCTGCTAGGGTAATATGAGCAGGTAGGGGCTGATTTAAAAAGCAGAACTAAAAAGGTAATAATCTCTGGATTACAACCTGAGCCATGTGGAAATTGGCACAGTGTCAACAGATTAAAGAGGTAGCCACATGGCTCAAAAATTAGCATGGGAGAAATGGATTTGAATTCGCATGAGCACTGGGGAAGGAGGGAACTGTCCAATGGAGTGGGCTCCACCTGAGGCATGCTGGGACCAGCGTCTTGGCAAATCACATAACTGGGGCTGTGGATAAGGATTTAAAGTAAATAGTGGGGGAGGGGTGGGTTCAGTTGCATGAAAATTATGGAAAATGGTAAATCATCAGAGGTTATTTAACTGTCCAGAACATGTAATAGGACACAGAGTATGGAAGGGGTCAGGAATTTAACTTCAGGCACAGTAGATAAGGGGACAGCTATGAGAAAAGGGGCAGTGTTATGGACTAGACCAAACCCCCTTCACATGTATCAATGAGAGAGCCTAGGCATTAACTTTTATCTTATTTAAATGCAAGCGTAATGAGCTGTTCCAGATGTAATTCGATTGGTTACACCACTCGGCTTTAACCAAAACACAGTTCTTTCTTACCCCCAGTTAAAATCAAACAAAAGAAAGAAGAATTAGGATAATTTTAAATCTACTGGAAAACCTATCAGAATAATGGATTATTTAACTACTAAATAACAACAGTTCCAATATGGTAATATCCCATAAACACACCCTTGGCAAAGGTAAATTCAGTTAAATAGATTGTCTCACATGTAACGTTTGCCCAATCCAGGAGGAAAGAACATCAGGAGAAAATTCTGGCGGAAAGAGAAAACTCAAGCATTTTGCTGTAAAACTCCAACAACTACAGAAATCTAAATTAAAACCCTGGTTCTATGGGAGCCTGGCTCTACCCATTCATGCTTATTCTATTGTTTTAACTTTAAAAAATATCCAAGGCCTCACAAGCTATTTACTCATTGACTTCAAATAGACAGCTCACTCCTATGATTCAATACCTCTCTTCTAAAAACCCTAGGACAAAATACACGTCTTAAAACCATAGTTATAACACAGCAGTCAACACAGGACCGAGGGTATTGTTCTGAAATACATACAGAATATGAAAAAAGGTAAATGATCTTCTAGTGCAGATTGAAATTGGTGGATACAAATGTGATGTGCTGCAAGGGGATCTGGGCTGAGAACTAAATTTCCAATGACGCTTGTTCTAAAAGGAAAGATGGATGTGTGCGGAGGGGACAGAGTTGCCTTGTTAGCAAGAAATGAAATTAAATCAATAGCAAGAATTGATGTAGAGTCAGAAGGCATAGAATCTGTGTAGGTAGAGTTGAGGAATTGCAAGGAAGAAAAGACCCTGATGGGAGTTGGGTGCAGGCTTCCTAGCAGTAGTCAGTATGTGAGAAAGAAAGTAAATCAGGAGATAGAAAAACATGTCAGAAAGGCACTATCACGACAATGATTGGACACTTCAATATGCAGGTGGATTGGTCGCAGATCCAAAGAAAAGGAATTCATGGAATGTCCAAGAGATGGTTTTTTGGAGCAGTTTGCAGTCAAGTCTACCAGGGAACAGGTTATTCTGGATTTGGTGATGTACAATAAGGCAGACTTGATTAGGGAGCTTAAGATGAAGGAGCTCCCAGAGGGCAGTGACCATAATATGATAGAATTCACCCTGCAGTTTGCGAGGGAGAAGCTGGAATCAGATGTAACGCTATTACAATCAAGTAAAGGTAACTACAAAGACTTGAGGGAGGAGCTGGCCAGAGTTGATTGAAAGGGGATCCTAGCAGGGAAGATGTGGAGCAGCAATAGCAGGATGTGGTTCTGGAGGCACAGCAGAGATTCATCCTAAGGAAGCAGAAACATACTAAAGGGAGGATGAGGCAATGATGGCACACAAGGGATATCAGGGACAGTTTAAAATCTAAAGAGAAAGCATACAGTATGGTAAAGATTAGTGGGAATCTAGAGCATTGGGAAGCCTTTAAAAACCAGCACAGGTTAACTAAAAAAAAGCAATAAGAGGGGTGAAGATGAAATATGGAACTGAGCAAGCTAGTGATATAAAGATTTCAAGAGGTTTTTTAGATATCTGAAAGATAGAAGAGAGGCAAGAGTGGACATTGGACCACTGGAAATTGAGGCTGCAGAAGTATTAATGAGGAACAAAGAAACGGCAGAGGAACTGAATAGGTACTTTGCATCAATTTTCACAGAGCAAAGTACCAGCAACATACCAGAACATCAAGAGAGTCAGGATGCAAAGGTGATTGTAGTGGCCATCACTAAGGAGAAGATACTGGGGAAGCTGAAAGGACTGAAGATGGATAAATCACCCGGACCAGATGGACTACACCGCAGAGTTCAGAAGAAGATAGCTGAGGAGATTATGGAAGCATTAGTGGTGATCTTTCAGGAATCACTGGAGTCAGGGAGGGTGCCAGAGGACTGGAAAATGGCAAATGTAACACACCTGTTTAAGAAGGGGCAGAAGCTGAAGACAGGAAGCTATAGGCCAGTTAGCCTGACCTCAGTCGCTGATAAGATTTTAGAGTCCATTATTAAAATGAGATTGTGGAACATTTGGATGTACATGGTAAAATACGGCAGAATTAGCACGACTTTGTCAAGGGGAGGTCATGCCTGAAAAATCTATTAGAATTCTTTGAGTGGGTAACAAGCAAGGTAAACAATGGAGAGCCAGTGAATGTGATCTATTTAGATTTTCAGAAGGCTTTTGACAAGGTGCTGCACATGAGGCTGCTAAATAAGATAATAATTCATGGTGTGGGGTGCAAGGTACTGGTGTAAATTGTGGACTGGCAGACTGGCATAAAACAGATGGCAGGGATGGCAGGAGTCGGTGTTGGGAGTGTTCACACTAGACATTAATGATCCGGAAGAAGGAACCGAGGGCATTGTTGCTCTGTTTGCAAATAACACAAAGATAGGTGGAGGGACAGGTGGTGTTAAGGAAGCAGAGAGGTTGCAGAAGGACTTGGAAGTGCTCGGACAGTAGGCAAAGAAATGGCAGAAGGAATACAATGTGGGAAAATGTGAGATTATGCAATTTCATGGGAAGAATTGAGGTGTAGACTATTTTCTAAATAGGAAAAGGCTTCAGAAATCTGAAGCACAGAGGAACTTGGGAGCCTTAGTTCAGGATTCTCTTCAGGTTAACATGTAGGTTTGGATGGTGGTTAGGAAGACAAATGCAATGTTAGCATTAATTTCAAGTGGACTAGAAAACAAGATGCTGAGGCTGTATAAGGCTCTGGTCAGATCATATTTGGAATATCGTGAGCAGTATTGGGCCCTGTATCTAAGTAAGGATATGCTGGTGTTGGAGGGAGTCCAGAGGAGGTTTAAAAGAATGATCCCAGGGATGAAGAGTTTGTCGTATGAGGAGCTGTTGAGGGCTCTGGGTTTATTCTTAATAGAGTTAGAAGGATGAGGGGGATTCTGATTGAAACTTATAGATTACTGAGAGACCTTAATAGAGTGGATATGAACAAAATGTTTCTACTAGAGACTATGAGAGACTAGGCTCCGAGGGCACAGCCTCAGATTGAAGGGACGACCCTTTAGAACTGAAATGAGGAAGACTTTCTTCAGCCAAAGGGTGGTTAATCTGTGGAGCACATTGCCACAGAGAGCTGTAGCGGTCAAGTCTTAAGTGTATTTATAACAGAGGTAGAAAGGTTCTTGTTAGTAAGGGAATCAAGGGTTACAAGGAGAAGACATGAGAATGGGGTTGAGGAACAGATCAGCCATGATTGAATAGTGGAGCAGACTCAGTGGGCTGAATGGCCTAACTCTGCTCCTATATCTTATGGTCTTATGGTTTATTTGACCTTTGAAGGGCTTTCCATCACTCAGAAGTGGAGCCTATGTTTTTTGTGAGCAAACAGGTTATTGTCATAGTCATTTTCCATTTGTAGGTCACATTGGGCACTGAACAGATCATAGATAACAATGCAGAGGTGCTCGACACCATGAGTACCAGGCTCAGCCTGATCATCATGTTGTTTCCCCCCACCACCAACCTACACCGAACCTTCATGTCACTTTTTAACAAGCAGGCCCTGGTCAACCCATCTCTTCTGAATTCCCACCTTCCCACCACCACCTCAAACTTGCCCCCTGAGTCCCATCACCACTGTTTCATCACATCCACCATCATGCTTCTACAGTCCCACTGTCAAGGACATGCTGATGGTGGTGACCACTTACCAACCTCCATTTCTAACAGCATGCAATGTCCTCCCACGCACTACCAAAGAAATCATGCAACTTCTACCACAAATGTTCCACAAATTCCAATCCAGTGTATTAATTGCAATAAAAGTCTTCAAATGTACAACCTTGTTGCGGGATCCTGTGATTCATCACTGGGAAATTCATAACACTCTGGGGATCGTGTCAACCCGGTGAAGCCACCAAACAGGACTACTTGCACGCCAAACATCAAAAGCAGCAAGTGATAGAGCTAAGCAATCCCACAACCAACGGATCAGATCTAAGCTCTGCTGTCGCACCACATCCAGTTGTGAATGTTGGTGGACAATTAAATAACTCACTGGAGGAGGAAATTCCACAAATATCCCCATCCTCAATGATGGAAGAACCCAGCACACCA